GAGTGGATTGCCTGAGCCCGCGGGTTCGAGACCCACCTGGGCAGGCGAGACCTCATCTCTACAATAAATCAAAAAAATTAGCCGGGTGTGGCAGTGCACCTGTAGTTCCAGCTACTTGGAAGGCTGAGGCGGAAGGATCCCCGGAGCACAGCAGGTCAAGGCTGCAGTGGCCGGGAGTGGCCACCGTACTCCAGCCTGGGCGACAGTGAGACTCCAACTAAAAAAAACCCCAAAAAAACCCCAAAAAAGAACCTATCAAGATTTATTCATGAACAAATAGAAAATCTGAACAAACCAATAAGAGTAACAAGATTGAATCAGTAATGCCTCTTCCTTCAATGAAATCTCCGTACCTAATGGATTCACTACTGAATCCTGTCAAACACTTAAAGAACTAATACCAATTCTCAAATTGTTCCCAGAAAAAAGAGAAAAGAAAAGGAATTCTTACAAACTCATTCTACTAGGCCAGCATTATCCTGATACCAAAACCAGATAAGAAAACAAGAAAAAAATAAAACTATAGGTCAGTATCCATGATGAACATAGATACAACGATCCTCAACAAAATACTAGCAAACTGAATCCAGCAGCACATCAAAAAGATCATTCACCACGATCAAGTGTGATTCATTCCAGAGATAGAATGAGTCAATATACATGGAAATCAACAAACGTGACACATCATAGTAACAGAATAAGGGCCAAAAGCTTATCAGATGTAGAAAAAACATTTGATAAAATCCAATATTCCTTCATGATAAAAACCTTAAACAAATTAGGTACAGAAGAAACATACCTCACCACAATAACGGCTATATATGACAAACCCACAGCCAATATCATAGTGAACAGGGAAAAGTTAAAAACTAAAATCTGGAATTAGACAAAAATCCCCACTTTCACCACTTCTATTCAGCGTGGTACTGGAGGTCCTAGCCAGAAGAATTAGGCAAAAGAAAAATAAAGAGCATGTAAATTGGAGAGGAGGAATTAAAACTGTCCCTGTTTGCAGACATCATAATCTCATTTATAGAAAACCCTACAGTCCAACAAAAAATTTTTAGAACTAGTCAACAAAATTCAGTACAGTTGCAGGACACAAAATCAACATACAAAAATCAGTAGCATTTCCATATACCAACAGCAAACTAGGTGAAAATGAAATCAAGAAAGCAATCCCATTTACAACTGGTTTTTTAAAAAAGGAATAAATTTAATCAAGAAGATGAAAAAAAGTTACAATGAAAACAATAAACATTGATGAAAGAAATTAAGCAGAGACTAACATGAAAATATATAGCATGTTCATGAATTAGAAGAATTAATATTGTTGAAATGTCCATACTATGCAAAATGATTTATAAATTCAATGCAATGTCGACCAAAATAGCAATCACATCTTCATAGAAATAGAGAAAACAATACTACCACCAAACACCCCAAATAGTCAAAGAAATCTTGAGCAAAAAGAACAAAGCTGGAGCCTTCATACTACCTCACTTTAAAATATAGTACAAGGTGGCTCAAGTCTGTAATCCCAGCACTTTGGGAGGCCAAGGTGAGAGGATTGCCTGAGTCCAGGGATTCAAGATCAGCCTGGGTAACTTGGTGAGAACTCATCTCTACAATATATCAAAAAATTAGACAGGTATGGTAGCATGTGCCTGTAATTACAAGTACTTGGAAGGCTGAGGTGGAAGAATTGCCTGAGACCAGTGGGTTGATACTGGGGTGGCCATGAGCATGTCACTGCACTCCAACCTAGGCAATAGAGTGAGACTCTGACTCAAAAAAAAAAAAAAAAGTACAAAGTAGTAATAGTAACCAAAACAGCATGGTACTGGCATGGAAACAGACACACAGACTAATAAAACACAACAGATAATCCAGGAAAAAAAAAAAATCCATGCATTTACGGCCAACTGATTTTCAACAAGGAGGCCAAAAGTACACATTTGGGAAAGAACACCCTCTTCAGTAAACAGTGCTGAGAAAATGGAATATCTACTTGAAGAATGAAACTAGACCCTATATCTCTTACCACTTACAAAAATCAACTCAAAATGGAATAAAGACTTAAATGTAAGATCCGTGCTAGAATAAAAATGGGGAACTTTTCACGACATTAGTCTGGGCAAGAATTTTAATAAGACCTCTAAAGCACATGCAACAAAAGCAAAAGTAGAACAATGGCATTTCAGCAAATTAAATAGCTTCTATACAGCAAAGGAAATGAGAGTGAAGAAAAAAACCTACAGAATGGAGAAAATGTTCTCAAACTTTGCATCTAACAAAGGGTTAATACTCAGAATATACAAGAAACTCAAACAACCTAAATAAGCAAAAACAAAACAAAACAAAACGAATAATCTGATTTTAAAAGTCAAAAGATTTGAACAGAGATTTCTCAAAGACATTTCTCAGTTCCATGTTTATTGCAGGACTATTCACAATAGCAATAATGCAGAGTCAAACTAAGAGGCCATCAAAAGATAAATGGATTTTTAAGTGCAGTACACACTATCCAAAACAGACTAATCTTCAGTCATAAAAATGAACAAAATATATATATAACAATATGGATGAAGTTATAGCATACTACGTTAAGTAAAATAAGTCAAGAAAAGAACACCACATATGGGTATTTCACTCACATGTGGGACCTAAAAAAGTTATCTCATAGAAGTAGAGAGTAGGCTGGGCTTGGTGACTCAGCCTGTAATCCCAGCACTTTGGGAGGCCGAAGTGAATGAATTGCCTGAGTCCATGGGTTCGAGACCAGCCCAGGCAACTTGGCAACACCTCATCTCTAAAATAAATTTTAAAAAATTAGCCAGGCATGGTAGTGCATGACTGTAGTTCTGGCTACTTGGAAGGCTGAGGCAGAAGGATTGCCTGAGCCCAGCAGGTCAATGCTGGGGTGGCTGTGAGCATGCGTGCCACTGCACTCCAGCCTGGGCAACAGAGTGAGATTCTAACTCAAAAAAAAGAAGACAAAAAAAGAAGTAGATTAGTGACTACTAGAGAGGCAGAGGGAGAAACTGCTAAGGTAGCTAGACAAGAGAGTTTTGAATGTTCTAACCACAAAGAAATGACAAGTGTTTGAGGTGACAAATATGCTAATTATCCCAAATTGATCATTACACAATGTATACATGTATGAAATGTCATATTGTACTCCATAATTATGTACTATTATGTATCAAATATAAAACTTCCAAAAAGTGTTTATGAGAAAAAAACCTGTTTACAATTGTAATAGTAAATTAGAAGTACTAGATGAAAATGAAAATGAAAGACCTATACAGATAAATATCTGAGTATTCAGCAATAACCACATAAAAGTTGAAATTTGAGTTCAATGTCTATGCTCCTAGAAGGCAATAGATATTGATGATGGATGGTTATATGTATCTGTTGGTCATTGTATCTATTGTAGCTAATGGACAAGAGAATGATGACTATTGGTGTTACAAGAACATCCAAACCATTAATTGAGTATATCATTTCAATCATACATAACTGTAATTGAACATATGAAAACATGGAAATCTTACTAGTCATTCTACAAAGTTAAATTAATTCATATAATAAAATTGGACAATGACACTTCAGAAAAACTAAGCCAATTTTATAAACAAACATAAATAGCATTTAAAAATAAAACAATGGCAACATGAAATCTAGCTATATATTTAAGAACTAACATCAGAAAATCTATTTTCCCACATAAAGAATTTAAATAATAAAATAGGACTATTTCATAAAAACTCTCTAAAGCCAAATGGCTCTTCCTTAACCTAATTCAGAATATTTACCAGATGCCTATACAAATATAGGTATTTAACAGTTAAATCTTAGAAGCAGTGCCAATAAAGTCTGAAGAAAGACAATAATTGTTTTCAAATTGTGCTAGAGGTCCTACTGAATCTAGTTGTTGTTTTTCAAAGGTACAAACAGAAAAGAAAGAGAAACACACTGTAAATAGACGGCACAACAGCCTACTTAGAAATCCAATATTATCCACTGAAAAACTATTAGACATTTCTATGAGGTTATTACCAATTTATAGAAATCAATACTTGACCATATATGTCAGTATTATCCACTTGGAAAATGTTATGGAACAAAATATTCCTATTCATAATATAAACAAAATTTATGAGGTATTGAGGAAATTGCTTAAGAAATGTGTAAGACCTTTTAAGAAAAAGAAATAAAAAACTTCACAGAGAACATAAAAAGAAAAGCAGATTTCGCATTTTCAAAACCAGAAGAATTTAATATTGTTAATATGCAAATGGTGCATCAGATTTCTTGAAAAACATCAGTAAAAGCTGGATAAACACAACAAATATCCTTTTAAAAGTATGCCAAGCTTAAAAGAAAGTAAAGAAAATCCAGAGGAGCTACAATGAAGTGAGAACCAGAAACTAGAGAGGTAAATATGCTCTGAAGTTAAAGCTGTCCTGAGGATATTTGCTGACTTTAATTGCCTAGATGTTTGTATCTTAATTGTGTGAAAAAATTCAAGAGATAAGGCCTTGAATCTACAAAAGAGCAGGCATTAAAAATAAAACTCTTTATAAAACTGGAACTATCTAAGGCCTAAAGTTCAGAGAAAGGAAAAAAAAAAAACAATCTGACCTTAAAGAAAAATGACAAGAAACATCTCAGTCATGGCCTGGACTCTCAATGAAAAGGAGAAAAATAAGTGCCATGGGTAATTCATCATTACACAAGAGTCCTCATGCGTACAAGAAACAGCAAAATTATACTTTTTCCCCAGAAACTGGAATTCAATGACATGTAATATATGCTGGAAATATATAAAAATATAAGACAAAAAACATGAGAAAGAGAAAAGTTTAAAACAAAAAGATCCAGAAAAGGGAAAGAATATCAAACTTCTGAGATATGAAACATTATAATCAATTACATTAAAATCTTAAAAGAAAAAAGCTTAAAATCAGCCAGAGAAAATACAGATTACTTACAAAAGGAACAACAATGTAACAGATGTCAGACTTCTCAAGAGCAACAATAGAAGCCAGAAGACAGTGGTATAATATCTTCAGAGTGCTGAGAAAAAAATAACCGTCAGTAGAGAATTTTATACCCAGTAAAATCATCAGGCAAGAATGACAGTGAAATAGGGTTATTTTGCAACAACAAAAGTAAACACTTAAGAGTGTTTACTAACAATAAGTCTTCCCTAATGTATTTCATAATAAATAAAATTATCCCAAAAGAATGACGAAAGAGGAATAGCAGGCAAATAAAAGGATAATTATATAAATAAACCCACAAGCAAACAGTGTAGTTATAAAACAAAATAATGCTCATTTTTGAGGTTAAAAGCCGGGTGCAGTGGCTTATACCTATAATCCCAGCACTTTGGAGGGGGAGGAGAGAGGATTGCCTGAGTTCAGAGGATCGAGACCAGCCTAGTCAAGTTGGCAAGACCTCAACTCTATAATAAATCAAATATTAGCCAGGTGTGGTAGTACATGCCTGTAGTTCCAGCTACTTGTAAGACTGAGGTAGAAGGATCACCTGAAGCCACCAGGTAGAGGCCATAGTGGCTGTGAGCGTGCCACTACACTCCAGCCTGGGCAACAGAGTGAGACTCTGACTCAAAAAAAAAAAGAAAAGAAATACCAGACAACAATAACAGATTGAATAAATTCATCAAAGTTAAATTATTCTAATATCCTCTATACTATCTTAGGGAAAAATATATATTTTAGCCTCTGCTAAGTTAAATATGCATTTGTCAAATAACACAAATAATAACAATAATAATAATTATAAAGTACTGAGCAGACAGAAATCAGAAATAGCCCCAAAATATTTCAATTCACCAGTAATGGCAGAAATGTTATTCTATTTTTTATCTAAAAGTCAACAAAGACATTTTTAAGGGATAATACCCACCGTTGGTAAAAGTGTAAGAAATTATACATTGCTGGTACACTACTGGTAAAAATTCTGTGACAGTGAAATAAATATTTGACATAGAGATGTCAATTTCTTATCATCCTCTTAAAACCTCAACTCATAGCCACAATGCTCACCATTATATTTCATGGTAGATATTATCCTTTATATCTGTTTTTCAACTTGTTGTCCTTGAAATCCTAGGGGTTGGGGTAGGGCATATAGTTTATTATAAGACTCCTGCAAAGCCCTGTGCAAACCAAACATTGTATGTGAATTGAACAATATGTTCTAATATCCATTAAATACATAGTTTTCAAATACCATTACAATTAATAAAAACTACAAAACATCATTTGCAGTCAAAGGAATTAGATTGATAAAATTTAAAGATAATCTTTAAAAGTACATAAATATTTTAGGTTTTTCAAACTAAACAAGGAAGAAAAAGAAAGCAAAAATTAAAATACAACAAAATTGTATCCATCCTCATTAAGAAGATAGAATCATTTTTTAAGCCTAGAAGATAAAAAGAGGAAACAAAAAGCACAAAATGGAGGAGAAATAAATTCAAGCATATTGGTAATAGCAATTAAATAGAGCGAACCTTTAAATTAAAAAAAAAAATTCTCAGATGATACCACATTGCAGTGGTTAGTTATCACACATGTTTAAATATCTGAAAACCTAGGAAATTTCAAAAAATAATACTTGTGTTCCATGCCTAGAGATTATTTTTTAATTGGTCTGTGGTGTGGCCTGGGCTTAGAGTGACCCCAGCTATTTCCAAAATGCATACATGTTTGGAAACCATTTTCATATTGTTTTCCAAAGTAGTTATGCCAATTGATACCGTCATTAGTAAGGTATAGAGCACTTAAAAACCAAAGAACAGCTCCTCAGAGATGTAATTCACATAATCATAATTTAGTCATTTAAAGAGCACAATTCAATGACTTTTAGTATATTCATAGAGAGTTGTGCAACAATTGCCACAATATAATTTGTAAACATTGTATCACCCTCAAAAGGATGTTGTCTGTGCCTATAAGCAGTAACTTCCCACCATTTCCTCATTCCCCCTTTTTCATTCCTCCCTTCACTCCCTATCCCAGGTGCTGGTTAACTAGTAATTTACTATCTGTCTCTACAGATTTACCTATTGAGGACATTTCATATAAATGTTATATAAAATGCAGTCTTTTGTGTTTGGCTTCTTTTACTTGGCATGTTTTCAAGGCTCATCCATGTTACACCATGTAACAGAACTGCATTCCTTTTAATTACTGAATAATATTCCATTGTAAGATTATACCAAATTTTATTCATCTATTCATCAGCTGATGGATTTTTGAGTTGTTTGCACTTTTTGGTTATTGTGAATATCAAGGTATAGAGCAAATGTTGAGAATGTTTGCCACTGTCAAACATCTTAATTTTTGCCAATCTGAGCACGTGAAATAATTACAACACTGTAGCTTTAATTTGCATTTCCTGTTCCTTGAACTGCCCAAAAATATCTTTTACCGAATTTTTCAATATTGTTATTTACTTTTTTCTTATTAACCTGTAGAAGCTTTTAACATTCTGGATACTACTTTCATTTTATCGTCTATATGCACTGCAAGTACCTTCACCTAATACATGGCTTGCCTTTTACTTTCTTTATGTCTTTTGATAAAAAGTAATTTCTGTGCAGCCAAATTTATCAGTCTTTTAATGATTATTTTTTAAAGGAACTAAATAAAACAATTAAAAGTGATCTATTTGGTTCTCTTTCAAATATATTTCTCAAAATCTATTACTTATTTTTGTGATTTTGATTTCTTGAAATATTTCACTAATAGTTTATATCTGTTTCTAATCATTCCAATATGTAAAGATTTTTGCCATATAATATGTTGTTTCTTCAGATTATCTATTACTCATTTATGACCATTTCCTTACGGGTTTGATAATCTTTGTAAGCTCACCTTTTGTAGAGCTTAACTTGTGAGAATTTAAAGGCCTCTTACTTTCCTCCAGAGATTTGTATTTGCTTTAGACAGGAGTGAGAGAACACTATCTTAGAGAATAAAATTCATGTCCTTTTCTTCTATTGCCTAACTGCCTTTATTTCTTATTATATGAGTGTTCACTTTTCTCTGGACATACATTTTTTGTTTCTCCTTCAAAGTTAATGCCTACCCTAAGGCCTTTATACTTAATTACTCCATCTGCCTAGAAAACTGTTCCCCAACATTGGCCTGATTCATGCCCTAACTTTAGTGAAGTCTTTGTTCAAATATCAACTCTTCTAACAGGCTTTTCTAACTAAAACAAGAAGCTCCCATTCCTCATTATTCTTTGTCTACCCTTCTCTGCCTTTATTCATACTGCTTATCACTATGTTATTGTTATATTTGTTAAATAAATCTATATTATATATGTATACACATATGCTTTTTTTCCTTATTTTGTATTGATCCCACAGGAATGTTTCAGTAGAGCAGGAATTTTATCTAGATCATTATTTCCTCAATGACTACTACAGACCTTGGCACAGAATAAGCCCTCAATACATACATTTTGAATAAATGAACACATTTTAAAGAATGGAAATAATTTTGTAAGTCAATTTTTTTTTTTTTTTTGAGTTGGAGTCTCATTCTATCGCCCAGACTAGAGTGCAGTGGCCGCGCCCAGCCACCGCAGCCTCGACCTGCTGGGCTCCAGCGATCCTTCTGCCTCAGCCTTCCAAGTAGCTGGAACTACAGGCGTGCACTACCACACCCGGCTAGTTTTTGATTTATTGTAGAGATGAGGTCTCGCCAAGTTGCCCAGGTGGGTCTCAAACCCGCGGGCTCAGGCAATCTACTCACCTCAGCTTCCCAAAGGTACGGGATTACAGGCTGAGCCACTGAGCCCGGCTGTAAATCAAAATTTTAAAACACAATCCAACAAGGAACTGACTCCAAGTTTACATAAATGCATTGTCAAGAGCCATACCCTCCTCTTGAAAGCATTAAGAATTATAATAAAAGACCAACAGGGAAAAGAAGTAGCGATTAGGTAGAACTCTTTAGCGAGATCATGCTGAAAAGCCCTTGCCTTTTTCCTCAAGTCATAGATATTTTTTCCACACAATTTGGGCCCTAAAGAAGAATGTACTAATCAATAATTTTTTCAGGTCTCCAGAGGAAAAAACAGTGAAGAGATGAGACAGTTATATTCCAGTGACTTGTGTTGTGGGAAAACAAATCAGAGAGATTGTGACACTGAAGCTGATAAGCAGGAAGTTGCGTTTATTATGGGAACGCTGGCATTTGGCCCAGTGGACTTCAGTTGCAAAGACTGGGCCCCGATCACAGTCAGGTCTCAGCTTATATAGGTTTTACATTGGCTTTGGGGGGAAGGCACTTTTCATGGTGTAAGGTTTTGTATTTTTTGTAACAATAGTACAAGCTTATGGTTTTGACTGCAGGCACTGTTACAGGAAGGGGCTTGTGGTTTTAGCTGCAGATACTGAGCATGGTGTTTTAACAAACTGGAACATTTTAATTGTGATATATGCTTTAAAGTGTTTTCTAAAAGCTCCCTACCACATTCCCCCCTTTGATGCTAGACCCCTTTAGGGCTAAAGAGCATCATTTTGATTTAACATTATTATATGAGGTGCTGTTTTTTGTTTGACCATGGTTTTAATGAATTTAGAGACAGACCTTATGAGCAGTGGAGCTATGCAGGGGAGAATTAAGCAGGTTTCCAAGAAGAGGAACAGAGCTTCTATGCACAGGGTGAGTAATGCGTCGGGTTTGTAAAGGAGGCTTAAATTAAAAGCAACTAACAACAATGAAACATTTTATCTATAGGAGGAAGAATAGTACTAACAAAAACCTTTTGCCACAAGTGCAGTTTGCTGGTGTGGCTTTTGCTAGTACTATAGCAAAGACTAGGGCAGAGGCTATAATAGATAGAGACAAGGAGTGGCAGTACATTAAAGGTTTGTTTTAGAGAAATAACTTTTAAAAATTTATCTGTATTCCAGTTGCAAGTTTCTCAAGCTTCTGCCATGCGTTGATCAGCCAGCCTCCGGTGAGGCTGAAGGAGGGCCACAGATTTCCTCACGCTTCGGCTGTGCATTGACTAGTCAGCTTCTGGAGTGACTAGAGCAGGGTTGTAGATTTATTTAGAACTTTGGAGTGTGCCGGTGTTTTGTTTATTTTTTTCCTGGATGGTCAGTTTGTGTGGGGCTGAGGGGTCAGTCACATACTCCCAGGTTTGAGCAGCTGGTTAACTCTGCTGTTGTGGGGGTAGAACCTTTACTGCAATTGGGGTAGACAAAAGGACAGTAATAGGGCCCCTCCAGAGGGGTTTTAGGGGTGGTATATTTTCTTTCTTTATACCATGTCTTTTGGGTTAAAGAGGTATGCATTTGTGGTTAAACTTATTGGCAACCTTTCTCTGACTTGGTGATGCAAGGTGTTTAAGGTTGTACCTAGAGCCTGCAGTTGCTGCCTTAGGCTGATGCTTTCTAACTTATTTAAGTTTCCCTGTATATTTTTAACAAGGGGGAGGGTGGCCCTCCATAAAGGATTTTAAAAGGAGAAAAACCTGTTTGCTTAATAGGGCTAGACTTAATTCTTAAGAGGGCTATTGGCAAGAACTGGTCCCAGTTTACATGAGTTTCTTGGCATAGCTTAATTAGTTGCAATTTTAATGTCCCATGTATTTATTTCATTTTATCTTTTTCAGTATCTTGTTAGAGTAGGGTGGTCCATTAACATGCTGGTATGTTCCCGATATTATCTCTGGGTAGCCATTGGGTTGACCTTTTCCCCAACCCTGGCCTTGGCCTTAGCTTTATCCATATTGAGCAGGTACCTGGTTATCCTGGTGAGGCTGCAGGGAGTAAAGTGGCCTTTTCCTTTAGTCTCTGGTTCATTTTTTGTTGGGCCTCCCAGTCTCAGCTGACAAAGACTTTGGTCATAATTTCCAGCAGCTGGCTCATGTTTATTTTAGCAAAGTTTTTTAACTTCTGTAGTTTGCGTCAGCTATCTCCTTAGCCTTGTTTGACAAAGGCTGCATTTATCATTTGTTGATTTTTAGTTGTCTCCAGGTCGAAGGGAGGGTACAGTTTGAAGTCCTTGCAGAGTTTTTCATAGAATTGGCTCAGGTTCTTATCGGATTCTTGGAGCACTTTTGAGATTTTGCTCATGTTTATGGCCTTTTTCCCTTTTTTCTTCATGTCCTCTAAGAGGGTTGTGTGGCACTGCTCGAGCATCTGCAACCCCTGGTTTCTGTTGGGGTCTCATAGTGTTTGCCACCAGAAGGGTTTTAGCCACAAGTGCTTGCAAAAAAGGCGGCCAACTTTCAGTGACTGAGTTCAGTTGCTTTGACAAGTATGCTATGGGTCTGTGCCTTGACCCTAACATTTGAGTTAGTACCCTCATTGCTATGCCGGAGTGTTCATGCACATATAAAAAGAAGAGCTTGGTTATGTTTGGGAGCCTTAAGCCAGGCATGTTAATGAGACCCTGACTGATTTTTTTAAAGGCCCTTTTTTGGGCTTTTTCCTAAAGCAGAGGCTCCCATTTCCCCCTCTTTGTGCTTCATAAAGGGGTTTTGCTAAAATAGAGAAGTTAGGTATCCAGAATCTACAGAATTCTGCAGTTCCAAGAAATTCTCAGACTTGACGTCGGGAGGATAGGACTGGGATTGAACAGATGGTTTGTTTTCTTTCTGGGCCAAGCTGGCATTGCCCTTGAGATAGGTGGAAGCTAAGATACCTAACCCTCTCTTGGCAGATTTGACCTTTTTTTTTTTTTTTTTTTGAGACTTTGTATTCAGCCTTCTATAAGAGGGTGAGGAGCTGGTGCGTCCCCATCTGTTTCGCTAGTCAGAACAGGCTTGTTTGGTTTGGACAGGCACTTGGAAAGAGCCAACTTAAGTGCCATCAGAATTTTGCAATTTTTTTTCCAGCAAGTTTTTAGCTAAGATGGATGAGCAAGGACTACATCTTGCCAATAGTTAATGTATGGGAATTGATCAGGGTGGCCAGGAGCTGGGTTTTCTATGAAAATTCTAAATACCTCAGCAACTATTTTTTTACGTGGACCATTTTATCCTAAAAGAAGGTCAATCAATTTCATAGTGTTTGGAGCTTTCTCCAAGTCAGTTTTACATTATAGTCTCCTGAGTAGCCTTGCTGAAAATTTTTCAACATACATTCAAGAGGTGTGTTTTTACTTTGTGTTTTACCCATCTTCTTCCCCCTAAAAGACACTAGTCACACATAGAGAGAGGAAAAATGAGGTAAGAGGAACAATTGCTTCATCTGTCTCCAGTCGTATACCTTGTGGAGATATTTCAGACATTTTTTAGCAATTGGCGGGCTGGTATAAACCCCCAACCTGGACCAGCCCTATTATGAGGCTGGGGCTGCCTTCAGCTGTATGAGGTTGCCACTGGCTTAGATTAGGACTCAACATTCGCTTTGGCCCTTTGGTTGAGTCGGAATCCTTCTGCTTGCCGTCTCATTTATATACAATTACACGACAACTTCAACCCATCACCCAGGACCTTGGACTCTACAGTTTCGCCTCAGGACAGTGTTTCCTTCCACTGTCTCTAACTCTTTTCTTCAGGTTTGCGACTATTAGTAGACTCTGGGAGTTGGTCAGGCTCCCCTTCTGTCTCTTAAGGACAGGTCTATTTCATGTAACCCTAGTTCCTACGCTTTCTGTCAGGTGTTGCTTCTTATGCTGATTTCTGTGAGTCACTGGGTTCCATTGTACTTTTGGGATCCTTACCCCAGGATGCCAGAAGGGCTTCTCCCCCACAGATCAACTGGTCTGTTGGCGCCAGGTGAGGTGGCCTCTCCCGTCACCCCAGGGGTTGTATCCCAGTGACAAGGGAGTTGGAAAACACTGTCTCCAACTCTCCTCTTTACCAGACAATATACCAACAAATGTTGCATGAAAACAAATCAGAGAGACCGTGACACCGAGGCTGATAAGCAGGAAGCTGCATTTATTGGAACTCCAGCGCTCGGCCCAGCGGACTCCAGTCACAAAGGCTGGGCACTGATCGCAGTTGGGTCTCAGCTTATATAGGTTTTACATTGGCTTTGGGGGAAAGGGGTTTCATGGTATAAGGTTTTGTACTTTTTGTAACAATAGCACAAGCTTGTGGTTTTGACTGCAGGCACTGAGCACAGTGTTACAGGAAGGGACTTGTGGTTTTAGCTGCAGATACTGAGCATGGAGCTTTGCATTAACAAACTGGAACATTTTAATTGTGATATATATTCTGAAGTTTCTAAAAGCCCCCTACCACAGAAGAGTACAAGAAATAAGGTGATTATCTGGGTGGGAAATCATTTACTAAACTTTTAATTGATATAGGTCCTGACCCTTATTAAAATACTACACACACAAAAATAACATTTCTTAGATAATCAATGGTATACCCTCAATTATTTTCTTCTTTTTTTTAAAAGCAGGATTTATTGAGAGGACAGAAAAGCTCCCACAGAGAGAGGGAACCCGAAGGGGTTGCCCCTCAATTATTTTCTTAATAAAAGATGACTCTAGCATATTCATTCAATGTAAAATACAAAATTCCTAATATGCAATATTCAACTACCAAGCACATATAAGAAAATGTGTTTATGTAAGTAACGGACTGTGTTTATTTGAGTTGTTAGTGAAATGTACCAATCCACTCTACCACTATACAAATGATACAAGCTCTTCTGATGAGAAAAACCATACATTTTTGCATCTGATTTTTAAATTTGTGATAGGGCCTGGGAATTATTTAGAGCTCCTTTAGCAGATCTAAAATGTAACCATGTTTTATCTGACAATATTGCAAGTGCTCCAAAATTCAAATCTAGCTATTTGATCTTCAAAGAAGATGGTAGACAGACTGCTATTATAAGGCAGCATTAAAGTTTTTTGAAGAATGGAGAAGATAAAGGTATCCTAGGAAACCCTACATCCACTTCCTTTGAGAATAAAACAAATTCAGTTAATTACTTAAAAAGCAACTTTGAAATAACAGCAGAGAAAGACATCATTCCAAAGCAAGGTCTGAAATATGAAGGGCATATTTACCTAGAGACACCAAGTTGCTATAGTTCTCCAACATCACATCTCTATACAAATCCCTTTGAGCAGAATCCAGGCATTCCCACTCTTCCTGAGAGAAGTCAATGGCAATATCCCTGAACATCACTGATCTCTGAAACCACAAACAAATATTAGTTGTTGATATAAAGAAAATATTTTTTAAATTGAGGAGATGATGAGAAAGCCACAGAGCAAACAGGTTGGGAAGTACAAACATGTTCCTGATTATTCTTATTGCTATAGATATTTTCTGTATATAGAATGTCTCATTATTAAAATAAGTATGAGAATCAATAAAGTAAATACAATGCCTCACTTAAAAGAAATAATATACAAAGGTGTCCTGTATAATATATGTTGTATATCATACCTTCTCAATGAACATAAGTTTCTCTTTCTTCACTATGTAAGGCATAAAAAAAATAGAGAATATTTTTTCTGTAATATTTTATAAGATTTGTATAAAATTTTAAAATTTATTGAAGTTTCAGATTCATCATTATATCAGACTATACTGTATCATAAAGTTTCCTTGGTCACCAGTACTTTAGTAAATATTTTATAGGCTACAGAATAGTATCATATAATAACTGTATCTGACTTAGTGTTGATATTTGAACATTTTAGGTTACCTATCTCATAAATATTTCTTAGTCCTCAAAGTTTTTAATTCTCAACAACTTCTGCAGCTGAATGATGATCTTTCTTGTTACCATTCATCACTTGTAAATGTAACTTTTCCTCATTCTATGCAATAGAAAGGTAGAAAAGATAATCCAAAAGTACACATTCAAGATCAGCAAATAATGTTGAATCTCAAAATGATCCACATTATTGGTATTCATCAACTATGCATTTCTAGGGAAGATCCATGATCTTTCTATATTCAGTGTCTAATTTTAAAAGCTCAAAAAGCATAAGCTCTTGCCACATATGGAGACTGGGCCCAGTCAAGACCAACTCCTATTTGTCAAACTGGGAAACTTAGGTCTAAAGAGAAGTTCAAAATTTTTTCATGTGTGGTGCCATTTAACATCCTTTTTCTATTTTATAAAGTCAGTCAAATCTGCTTTTATTACGTCAGTGTTCCTAGTCAAAGAAACTGAATGAATTTCTGAATAAGTATCCGAATATAGGTTAGGTTAAAAAGACATACCTAGGGAAGATACTCACTTATAAGAATGGGAAAAACTTGAAAGCACATTCCTGAGTGAGGTCAGTCAGGAAGGAAGCTACAGGAATAAGGAATCCAAACATACACATACTCTGTAAAAGAGTAATTGAAGAGGGCACAAAGAAACACCAATTTACCTGAGCCATTGTTTTTAGAGCAAGAAATGATCAGTCCTCTTCTGGATTCCTATCTTAGAGAAGCACAGAATCTGGAGAAAGCAGAGCTAGGAAGGAGAAAACAGAACCATGAGACTAGGCTTTCTGCAAAGCAACAAATGGTTAATTTAGGTTATCTTTGTTGTTTTCTTCTTCCTGTCTCTTTCTCCTACCTGGAAACACACAAAAAGAGGGATAGATATAGATGGTGGCTCTTATCCTGGGCAACCTCAATATCCTCATTAATAAAAAGAAAAAATAACAACTTCTCTACCGTTTCTGAAATGAAACTCACAGATAATGACACATCTATATACCTTATGTAAAAAATGAATATAAAGAACATTAATATTTCAATATACTAATGATCATATACAACTACACTAAAGGTGCAAATAAGCCAGGTGTGGTGGCTCATGCCTGTAATCCCAGTATTTTGGGAGGAAGAGGCGAGAGGATTGCCTGAGTCCAGGGGTTTGAGACCAGTCTGGACAACATGGTGAGAACTCTTTTCTACGTACACACAAAAAAATAGACAGGTATGGTGGCGCACCCGTGGTTCCAGCTACTTGGAAGGCTGAGGCAGAAGGAGCACCTGAGCATAGCAGGTTGAGACTGCAGTGGCCATGAGTGTGCCACTACACTGCAGCCTGAGCACCAAGTGAGACTACTACTAAAATAAATAAATAAATAAGGTACCAATAATTAAACACTCATGCTTATGACTATTTATAATGAACAAATTTAGATTTATAAAATTACAATGTGCAGCTAAATATAATTGACACATTATATTTGACATTTTGAAATAAAAGCTAAATACATTTGAGTGTATCCATGTGTATGTATGGAATAACAGAAATGCATTATCTATAAACAGAGGCTTCTTTAAGTAATTGGTATTGGCAAGTCATGTCACAATATTATTGCCAACAGTACTGTTACTTTCTGAAATGATAAAAAAAACCTCAGTAAATTTCTTTTTTTTTTTTTTTTTGAGTTGGAGTCTCACTCTGTCACCCAGACTGGAGTGCAGTGGCCGCACCCGGCCACCGCAGCCTCGACCTGCTGGGCTCCGGCGATCCTTCCACCTCAGCCTTCCAAGCAGTCGGAATTACAGGCATGCGCTACTACGCCCGGCTGATTTTTTTGATTTATTGTAGAGATGAGGTCTTGCTGCCCAGGCAGGTCTCGAACCCGCGGGCTCAGGCAATCCACTCACCTCAGGCTCCCAAAGGCGCGGGATTACAGGCTGAGCCACCGAACCCGGCACTATTTATTGTCTAGTCCTTTATAGAAAAAGTTGGGTAACCTCTAATCTAGATCTATGACCTCAGTCTTTTTTTTTTTTTTGGAGTTGGAGTCTCACTCTACTGCCCCAACTGGAGTGTAGTGGCTGCTCCCGGCCACTGCAGCCTCGACCTGCTGGGCTCCGGCGATC